ATGGAAGAATCTCATTTTGTCCTTTATTTCAACCTAGAGGGTAGTAAGTCACTCCCTTAGGTGTAATAATCGTGGCACTAACTGTGATTCAGTTAGCAAGATGGTGATAATGATAACAATAACTCAGAGTCTTTTCCCCTAGAGACTCTCAAAGACACCACTAGTACTCACTCTCCCACATTATGAGTTTCATGAACTGTACCTGAAGGTTTAAATGTAGCCCTAAGCTGAGAAGTATTTTTTAAAAGTGGCACCTTGTTACTATGATAGCATACATCTGTTCCCTGTATGCCTTTGGAGTTGTCTCTGCATATAACAACAACAAGTTTTTACAACTGTCAGCAAATGCCAGCACAACTGGGGAAAAAAAAGGGAGAATGTCTTGTACTCCATGTATCAACAATATTACTACCCATATTCCTTTGCTGTCAATAGTTATGGAGTAAATATATACTTAGTAGAGTCAATTGGTACCAAGAAAAATTGTCAGGGTCATGAAAGGGGTAGAGAGTACTGAATGCTGTCAAGTTGTTTCAATTTGTGGGATATATCTGGCATGTCACTTGTGCTCAGAGCAATATGTCTCTTAATGTCTTAAAGGCATTTCTAGATTTTTATTTACTGGGTATATTTCTATACTGATTAACAGTCATAAGCATCTCTTTAATATTCTCTCATTCATTTGCTCCATAGGATAAAGGGGCAGGATAAAAATTAAAATAAGATAATCTGAGTTTTTAAAATAATTCATCTTTCATCAAAACTTGTTTCCATAATGATTGAATGAATATGTGATATAAAATGAAGAGAAAAGCAGAGGTTAAGATGAGGTAATTTTAGGTCTGTCAAACATTTATTTATCTCTGAAATCTTTGCTGATGTTGGAAATAATGAACAAAAATGTATTGGGGAATATAAAAGTTTCAACCTGGCTATCAAGCTGAACTGTCATTAGAGTATAATTAGGACATGTTCATTACTAGTTTATTTTGTCTGTCATTATGGATTTTTTTAAAGGATAGCAGTGAAAGCAGTTTTTAAAATAATAATTTTCCTTTAATGCGGTATTTGAGCTAGATACCTTGCACATGCATGTCTATGGGCAGGTACATGTATGCAACATATAGGATAACATATTCATGATACTTGCATGAGCAAAAGGTGGCTATCTAGAAGAAGGTAAGAGAATGAATAATGGGAGCTACTGAAATCTTATTCTGTCTGAAGTAGTCCTGGGCATCACACCTTAAATATTTGATTCCTGTTAAACAAGGAAAAAAAGTGTAAGTCCATTTCTGACAAGGTCAGTACCGTCATTTTCAATAGTAATGGAACTGCAAGTCCAATATAGCATTCTATATGACTATCCAGCTCTCCTTCACAGAACGGGGAACACAATAACAGATGCACCAATGTTTTTATTACTTCGGATCATCTCAGCTATTCATGACCAATTTTCCCCCCCATGAACTTTATCTTCCATCCTCTTCATGAAATGCATTGTCAAACTTTTTCAACGAATCGGCTCTGAAATCATTTCTAGATTTTTAGCACAAATAAGGGATGTATATTTAGAGGGAGTACATTTTTTAAATTTGTATATGTATATGTATATATTTTTTCTTCAAAAAACCCACGGGTTAGCATCCAATAAGAAAAATTTATTAAATTATTAGAATAAAAATGTTTCCTTGCCATAGTTTCTTAATTTTAAGCTGCAACAATTATTATTATGGAAGGGAATATATAGGAAGCACTTATCTGTGTAAATTTGTACTCAAAAAATCTTTTCTTGTATAATTTAGTCACATTCTACATACAGAAGAAACTACTGCCTGGAGATGTCAGATAACTCAGGTAACTTCACAGAAACACATTGCACCCTTAAAACTCATTGATCAGTTACTGAAGTAGACCCATAGAAATTGTAGTCTTGATTCAAGAGTGAAAACCTATAAAATTGAAGATTTTGAAAAGTAGGGTATATTTGCTCCAAGTTATGTTTTCATAAATATAGTCTCAAATAAAATAATAGTTTTCTTGGGACAGTAAAACCTGACTGAAATCTACGGTGTGGGGCTATTAACTGTCATCTCACCGTTAGGAACAAACTTGCTTTCATCTGCCTTGTCCAGCCATATGAAGGTCACTATTGAAACAGGAATTTTAACCTAACTGACTGTAACAGCTCCAAATGAGTTATTATGAACTATCATTGAAGTCCTCCTAAGTTCACAGTTTACTGACCTGGAATACTATAAGTCCCTGAGCATTTCACATCCATCCATCTGTTGTTATTACCCAGACCACCTTTTTTTATAAGATTGAAGCCCATATGTAATCTACAGTAAGTAAATCAGCAATATTTAATCTTCAATGATTATATCTTATGGAGCATTCATTTGTAATATACTTTCTCAGACATTTTTAAAAAGGGATGCTGAATTTACAGATAACTTCCCACGTCCTCATTTGTAAGACACTTTCCTGAGGGGTGTCTTTTTGCCAAAGATTAGTTGGCAAAACCCCAAACTAAATAATTACCTGGTTTTTTTTGTTGTTGTTTTAGAAGTAGAGGGGAAATAAACAAAATTCAGTCTCATGGGTGACTCAGGTTGTCCCTGATTTTGAATTTATTTAAACACTTATTTTCTAAAAACCAAGCTTATTTAAAAATATATTTCAACATTTTAATTTCTTAGTAATGTTAAGAATCTGTCCTCCAGTGTTTCTAAGGCATTTTAATTTAAAAGTTTCAGTTTAATTTAAAATTTTAAAATATTTTGTTAATAAAAGTTAATGTAATTTACTTTTAAGTTTCTAAATTTAACTTAACTTGAAAGGTAGCACATCATAAACCTTATAAAGAGTAATTTTTATTTTTATTTTTTGGAATTGACCATATCGTAATTACATTTTCTGGAAACTCAACACCTCCTTTTCAGACAGTGCCTCAAGGGATGTAGATAAAAAAGTGAGTTAAATCCTGGTGGGTGGTACTCTGGTCTCCTGCCATTTCTGACAAAAATTGTTCAATACAGTGAGTTTACATGTAAAATATCATTTAGAGAAAAATGTATCTCACTAAAATCCTTCATGAAAATTTTGTTGTAAAACATGAATCTGTATGGAGTCAGCTCTCTGAATTGGCATATTCAACCAACTTTGGGTTGAAATATTTGGAAAAACAAAAATAACAATACAACAATAAAAATACAAATAAAAATATAGCATAACTATTTACATAACATATACATTGTGTTAGGTGTTATAAGTAATCTACAGGTGATACAAAGCATGTGGGATGATGTGTATAGGTCATATGAAATATAACATTAAAACGAGACTTGAACATCTGCTTTGTCATGGGAGAGGGGTGAGAACCCATTTTTCACAGATAACGAGGGACAACTGTATATTCATTCCATATTTCATTTTAAGTACCTTTTAAGAACTGGGGAAAATGCTTTATGTTAAAAATTTATAGGTGGAAATGGAACGAACTTTAGTTACAGAACTGTAATTTAATGGACACCATGTTAAATTAGGTCATGAGTATAACAACAGAACTACGTTTTTTTTTTTTTAATTCAGTCTTATCGTGTATTTTGAAAAAAATTATCACTACTTGGTAAGACTGTCACTAGGTGTCGTTTTATAATTTTATTGATGTATAAATATTTTCTTTAAAAAAATCATAGGAAGAGACCTAAAATTATTTCATGTATCATGCCTTGATAGACCTTGTAATCTTGTATGTTCTGAGCTACATTCATGTAAACACACATAACAAAGGAGTATATTTCACAGGACTCAAATGAGTGCTATAGAGAGAATGTGTTTTATGTACTATCTGAATCACAAGCTTGATAAAGATACAGATGTCCAGTCTCACCCTAGACCTGTTGAAAAAAGAGTAATTTTCCAGGCCTAGGAACAATGAAATCATGGATGCGCTTGCTCAAAAAAGCAGAAAATATTGTCATTAAATACTAAAATATAAAGTTTTTTCTTTTTTCTGGTAGGTCTTCTCTTTTATCTTGTCATGGTGGCTATTACTTGATATGTAATATTGTTTTAAGTAAAGAAAAATTAAAAATTTAAATTAATCATAAATTTTACATTTATTTTTATATTGTGCAATGCCAGTTTAAGATGCACATATTAAGAACATTTAACATGTTCACAAATGCTATATATAAATGGTGCGGCAAGCAATAGTGGACAAACATATTGCGTGTATCCCCTCGCCTCATGCATGTGCTGAATGGTCTCATTTGACTTCACTTATAAAACATGAGTCCAAAAATACAACTATTAAGAATTTCAAGATGGTGAAAATACGACGTAAAACCAAGTGTGGTAGCCCTCCTGAGCATGGGTCCCTGTGCTACTGCATGTATCACTTCCTCTAGATGACATCCCTGAATAAGGTCATGGATTTTGCTTTTTAAAGCACCTCTTTAAAACACCTTTTTAAAGAGGCATCTCAGGCAATTCTTATGGGGAATCCCTCTAGGTGCTTTTTTTTTTTTTTTTTTTTTTTTTTTTTTTTTTGAGACAGTCTAGTGACAGTCCCTCTGTCACCCAGACTGGAGTGCAGTGGTGCAATCTCGGCTCACTGCAACCTCTGCCTCCTGGGTTCAAGCAATCCTCCTACCTCAGTCACCCAAGTAACTGGGATTGCAGGTGCCTGCCACCACGTCCAGCTAATTTTTTTTTTTTTTTTTTTTTTGTATTTTTAGTAGAGATGGGATTTCACTGTGTTGGCCAGCCTACACTCAAACTCCTGGCCTCAGGTGGTCCACCCCACTTGGCCTCTCAAAATGATTACAGGCGTGAGCCACTGCACCTGACCAGGAACTGTATAGCTATCACAACATATTTCAGATTAGGAGAAATTCTTTTACTTGAGTAGGAAAAGGCTCATAGGCTCAGATGAACTTGAGCTAGTTTGTTTGAGAAGATTGCTTCTGCTCTTACCACCATTTTTATGTATCTGAATACTCAGGTATTAGAATTCAAGCATTTCACCTCCAATTTCAAAAAGTGACAGTGATAAGGAGAAAGGCTTGGGGACTTGAACTGGACATAGCTTTTCACAGAAAGGCTCTAAATTAATCAAAGCATGAGTATCAGCCATTTGACGTTCTCTCTCTTAACAGACATTTCAAAGATTGCACATGACACTTCTTAGAAATGTATGCGGCCCAGAACATTTGGTAAACTGCCTTTGTATTATACCATTTTCAACCACTTTAAAAATAACACAAATTTTTGCACAGTTAGAACATAAAATTATTGTATAGGAAGCAGATTTCAAAACGAAATACACAACATTTTTCAAATAATGTTTAAAAACACTGGTTGTACTTCACACTGAACAATTGCTGGTAAGCAATCATTTTTTGAGTATTAAAAAATATAATTCTCTAGGATTCTTAATTCAAGCCAAGCACATCAATGAAAATGCTCTTTTCACTATGAATATATCAATCAATGTAAAAGTATAACTTGATTATATATGAATATGCTGTTTTCATCTTTTCTAAGAACTTGGAGCTAGAAACTCTTAAATATTTAAATAAACAGGAGAAATAAAACTGGTGGCACAATGTATATAATTTAGTAATGATGAAAAATATTCTCAGCCAAATTAATTCATTTTTGGCTATTAATATTGAATATTATTAATTTCACTCCAATTTATCATTGATAAATAGAAATTTCCCTTAATGGTAAAAATCCTTTTTTGTAATTAAACCTAATTTTATAGAAAGGAGCAAAGTATGTTTGAGTTAGATACAGGGATGTAGATTTTCACTCAATCTGTAGAATAAGATATAAAACATAAGCTAAGAATTGAAGAGGCAACTTCATGAAGAATTAAATTACCTTAATGAGAGGGCTAAATCAGTGTTCCCTCTACCCTCATTCAGAGAAAGTTAGGACTGGATGCTCTCTAAGAGAATTTGCATCTCTTTCAACATATTTAGGAAAATCACTTACTGTGTAGTCTCACTCTTGATTCTCTGAATCTCCCCTCTGTCTCAAAATGAAAAGAAGATTATTATTCTTTTCTTTGAAATAGACAATAGACATGTCTACATCATATCACATATGAAGTACATACTTCACTCTGGTCTCTCTTCAGTTGAAATTTGCTATTGCTCCACTGAAGGAAAATTTGGTAAGTTTCTTTGACAAAGTGATTTACTTTTACCAAGTGAGTTACTTTTATATTGAAGTTCTCATTAAAGTATAATTTACCAAAAAACTTTACTTCTATGACTCATGCTAAGTCATGTTGTTTTCAAGTTGACCTACACTTCTAAAAACTATATAATTAAAAATTTTCCTGATTTTTAAAATTTTTGCAGTCTTCATGGTGATTTAAAGTCAGTCTGAACTTATTTAATAAATGATATTGTTATGAATCCAAGGAATCCTATTGCGGTAGATATCCTTGGTTGAGAGTCAATATTCACTATTCCCACAGTCATTTACTTAAGACCTCAATTTATTCTTCACTAAACACTTCTTGTTATTCTTTTAAGTAAAAGCAACTACCACTTTTTGCTAGATATGAAAGGTGACATGTTTAGAAAAGGCAAACAATATTGAGGTATTTAGGTTCCTTGCGATTTAAAATTGTTTAGTGAGTCCTTAATATTTAAAGCCTGTTATCTATTTAACTCAATTATATCAGAAAATCCACTAGGATCTGAACAAGATTTGATGGCCACAGGTATTAAAGAAACAAGGGGGAAACATAGCCCTAATACAAGTGCAGTGTGCAGTTGCATTGCTAAAATATCGAATTTAGAAATACTGCTTTCTCGTCCATTCCTTTATCTTTGTCCATGTGCATGGACAAATAACCTCCTCATTATAATCCTCAATTTCCCAACTGTATAAATAAGGCGGCTGGACTATTTCACCTTTAAGGTATTCTTTAGCTCCAAAATCCCATGGTTCTATCACTTTCAATTGATGGACGGTACAGAGAGAGGAACACTTTTGGAATAATTCTCACAGCCTAAAGGCCAGTGATGACACAGATGGTGATGTTTTTAAGGAGGTGATAGAAGATATTTGATCCCTTTGGTTTGGAGTCTACCAACTGAGATAAAGGAGAAGAGCTGAGAAGCCTTGTAACATTAGTATTCTTTGTCTCTTTGTGGATGACCCTTTCACATTAATATCAACATCAGAAACTGAATTCAAGAAAAGAAAGGGAGAGTCACACATTCTTTCAATAATCCTTTGTCAGTGAACATTTGAGCACCACAGGAAGCCAAATCAGACATCACTTAAAATAGTTTTTGGGTCAAGATTACAAAAAAAAGGAAGACAGGAAAGAACAGTGGAATCAGCAGGAATGTGTCCCCTAAAGTCCCTTAAACTAAGTTGGAACACAACCCAGAGCAAGTTAGCTAGAGCACTTCTCAGTGGGATTATGCCCACTGAAAGGTATTAACCACAAATTGTTCTCAGAAAGTGTTTCCTTTCAAAACTGAAAGTCATTGGGAAAAAAGAGGTTTCTTACTAAGGAAACTTTAAATGAAACATGCATGCCAAATTTTACTGTTTTCAAAATTCATAATCAAACCTGAAAATAAGGATCTTAAATTGTGGAAAATCAGTTTGAGTGTGATTCTTATCTCTCAAGGTCATATGTATGGTAATTGAAAACCTACTCTATAACTGTTGACTAGTGTTCACAGGTTTTACCAATGTATAAGAAATTTTTGCAAAAAATAATAATAAACAACATTCCTCTGTTTTGTGTTAGGGATTGGTATTTTTCAGTTGGATATGGAGTTAATTTTTAGAGTCACAAATGTGACTGTGGCTATCAAACACAAAATAAAGAGCTATTTATATGCAGAGAACATTTCATTTCATACAATGAAGAGAAAAATGAAATTTCAGCACCACATGCATCTTTGACACATCTCTGATAAACTGTTCAGTATAATTCACATATTCAGTAGACCACAATATGTACTATTTTTCTTTGGAGACTTTCCTATTCACTTCCTTTCTGTCTATTTTAAATATTCAGGCTGTTTATTTTTAAAATGTCTATCCCAACTCAGAGACATACCATAAAAACAAAATAATGTGTGTCCAGTATTTTCTTTATCAGTTAATTTGAATTTTAATTTTTAAAATATTTAATTGCTCCAATGACAAGTATGATTTATTATCATTTAAAGAATTTTGAAAACAATATAAAGTAATTAATTAAATTCCTATGTAGTTTTCATAAAGCTTGTGCAAATTATCCATACTTCACAGAAATTGGGAAACAAAAATACTGTGAAAATATGGTTCATTTTATTTTGGTATTGCAACTATGTGTTTTTAACTATCTGTAAAACAAAAGCTTACATCATAGCATTTTAGATGTAGTTGAATTAATTTCCATAGTTTTTAAGTTTGTATTTAGAATTGGAGAGCTATTTGTAGTCTCAAACCATAAATAAGATTTCATTATTTAGCAGACTTGACAATGTATAAAAAATTATCAAAAGAGTAAAAATTTTAAAACAGCATATACTTATCTATAATCAGTTTTATGTCTGGATGAATTTTATTGCTGTTTTCTTCCATTAAACATGTCATAAAAATAAGATTATTGTTTTGTTTGTTATATTTCAAAAGCCATAAGAGATAGCTTATATATTTAATAATACATCACAAAATAATGCTGTCCAACTGATTGACCATGCAAGGCATTAAATTTTGGAGTTGAGAGTTTTATGTGACTGGAATTCATGTGTACTTCTTTTCCCTTTCACATGTGCAAAAGCTCATTCTAGGTTCAGTGGTTTGATCTATCTTATCACTCTTCCAGAGTTTAGTTCAATGTAGTACGCTCCAAAGTTACTTAGTCATTGATACCTGTTTGCATTAACTAGTATCAAACCTCCATTTTAACAATTAACTTTCTCTTCATTTTATTAAGTCTACATTTAAGTCATGAATTACTAATATAAATTCCCTTTCCAAAGTGAATGTATTAGACTTGTATATTATTCTGTATCATGAATACACTTTAAATAGAGGCAAATATACTTTAGCTGTGAAAGTAATGTGTAGTGTTAATAAGTGATTCAATTGTACAGGGATATGTTGATCCATTTGTTGGAATGTGATAAGCATAGTCACAGACTATGTTTAAACAAGTTCAAACAAGCATGTTAAAACAGAAAGGACTGAGAATTAAGTTTTAACAATTCACCAGTATAAATAACACATCTGAACAATTTTCATGTTTAAAAAAAGGGTAACATAATACAGAATTTAAAAACTTACTGTTGAGTTAATTTAAAAACCCGTATCTGTTGCATATTATCCAGATGTGGTGAAAAACAAATAACAAAAACATAGCCTATTCAGCTAACATTTTCAAACAAATATCCTAAATTAAACTAAATGATGATTGCATTTTTATCAATAAACTTGGCTTGACATTTTTATCAAAAAAGCACTTTGATATTAGGTTGACCAAAATTATTACATCATTCAAGTTTTACTCTTATTTTATATATATTGACATAATTCTAGACTACAAATGTTTTGAAAATCAGAATTTAATGCAGTAATTATATCCAATCGATCTTAAACTCAACAATCAAGTCATCTGAATCAAAAAAATAAAATATACATTCCAAATACAACCAAAAGAGGCAGATTTCTAGAATGACATAGGGAGGTATTTGGCAGGACCTTTTCTTCCCTGTTGCACAACCATTTAACTGAAGAAAATAATTTTTAAAATAATTAAATAAAGGTTTTATATATAGTTATATGGCATGCAGCAAATGAATCAACATTCATTCAAGCTAATCTCCTAAATCTCAGTATGAAAATTTACTGTGTTAGTTCCTTCTCATGCTGCTATGAAGGAATACCCAAGACTGAGTAATTAATAAAGAAAAAAGGTTTAATTGATTCACAGTTCTGCATGGCGGGGGAGACCTCAGGAAACTTCAAATCATGGTGGAAGGCACCTCTTCACTGGGCGACAGGAGAGAGAGTGAGTGTCCAGCAAAAGGGGGAGCTCCTTAAAAAATCATCAGATCTTGTGAGAACTAACTCACTATCACAAGAACATGATGGTGGAAACTGCCCCCATTATTTAATTATATCCACTTGGTCCCTCCCACATGTGGGAATTATGGGAACTACAATTCAAGATGAGATTTGGGTGGGGACACAGCCAAACCATACCATTCCACCCTTGGCCTCTCCCAAGTCTCATATTCTCAGAATTTAAAACATAATCATGCCCTTCCAAAGGTCTCATTAACTCAAAACTCCAAGGACAAAGTCTCATTTGTGACAAAGTAAGTCCTTCTGCCTATGAACCTGTAAAATCAAAAGCAAATAAATTACTTTCTAGATACAATGGTGTACAGGCATTGAGTAAATACACCTGTTCCACATGGGAGAAACTGGCCAAAACAAAGGGGCTACAGGCCTCATGTAAGTCCAAAATTCAATAGGGCAGTCATTAAACCTTAAAGTCCCACAGTGATCTCTTTTGACTCCTTGTCTCATATCCAGGGCATGCTGATGCAAGAGGTGGGCTCTCATGGCTTTGGACAGCCCTGACACTGTGGCTCTGCAGGGTACAAGATGCAGTCCCCCTCTTGGCTGCTTTCACTGGCTAGTGTTGAGTATCTGTGTCTTTTCCAAACACACAATGCAAGCTGTTGGTGGATCTGTCATTCTGGAGTATGCAGGATGGTGGCCTTCTCACAACTCCACTAGGCAGTGCCCCAGTGGGGACTCTGTGTGGGGGCTCTGACCCCATATTTCCCTTCGGCACTGCCCTAGCAGAGGTTCTTCATGAGGACTGTGCTCCTGCAGCAAACTAAGGCCAAGGTACATCTGGGGGTTCAGGCATTTCCAAACATCATCTGAAATCTAGGTAGAGGTTCCCAAACCCCAGTTCTTGATTTCTGTGCACCCACAGGCTCAGCACCACATGGAAATGGCCAAGGCTTGGGGCTTGTACCTTCCAAAACAATGGCTCCAGATATACCTTGGTCCCTTTAAACCCTGGCTGGAATTGAAGCAGCTGGGATTCAGGGTACCAGGTCTCAAGGCTGCTCAGAGCAGGGGTGCCCTGGGACCGACCCAGGAAAGCATTTTTTCTTCCTAGGTCTCCAGTCC